AGGGCGCTGGGACGAGGGGGGGTGAAGGTATAAAGGAAAAAAGGAGGAGGGGTAAAAAAAAGTTAATTAATATATATATATATATATATTAATTAAAACACGATTTACTCGCGCGCGGCGACGCGACAAAATGGGTGTCCTCCCCGGGCAAAATCGACCTTCCGGACGCGCCGGTGCAGTCTGTTTTGTCATCCAAGGTCGCTCGGACGACGTCGTCGACAATCGGGTCAAAAACGCGTCAAAATTCAAATTTCACAAAATTTCGACCCGTAATCGATTGTTTCAAAAGGTTTACTTGAGCATTCAACAGGTAACAGTGCAGGCAATGCGAATTGCGGCGATCGGACACGTCCACTCTCCGAATTGCGAAGCTTGTGCGCGCGGGAGTGCGAATTGTGCAGAAGGCCACCCTTTTGGGTTTCCTCATGTCGGTTTCATCCTTTTAAGTCCTAGAAGTCGATACCACACACGCGAAACTCCAAAAGAGGACGGAAGTAGGTCGAACTAAAACGAGGGGGGTCCCACTTCTAAGGTTCTAAGATAGTCGCAGGAAGACCCCTAAGGCTAGATCCTAACTCCTACGAAAAATACTAGACCACACGAAAAATGAGGTCAACATGGTCTCCTGAACCTCTTTGCTCAAAGTGATTGAACAGGTGGTACTGAAGTCCGAAAAGAGTTGATCGTACTTCCCCAAGAAAGAAATGGGTGAAACATACCAACGGTAGAAGGGTAATTTGGTCCAAGAGGGACATGGACACATTACCAATGTGTGAAAATAATATTTACTGATTTAAATTGAGAGAGAAGCTCATCCCAGCGGAGTCGCCAGAAGCTGTCGGCGACAAAAAAGGTTAGGGAGTTTAGGATGTGTTGCCCGTAGGAAGCTTTCGGTCACCGGAATCGAAATCCCGTCGTCCTCTTCGGAACGACGCTTTAATTTACATATAAATTTAAGTTTAAAAACAAATATGAAAATCAAACTGACCCCATATTTTTCATAGTTTAAATGAAAGAGCGTTTTACCTCAAATTCTGTATTTATCCCGAAGGATAAACACAAAACTCAAGGGTGAGGCTCGATCAAATAAGCTAAGAAAGATATGAAATTCGTTTGGTATGCGAAACCGTTTTATTTGTCGACAAATTCCACTATTTAATATGAAAAATTAAATAGGGTTTATTTTAAGCTAGGTTCGGAAAAACTTCCTATAAGGGCAAACTCCTATAGTTAATTACATCTTAGACAACCGTAGTCACCTAAGAATACTCTCGATAAAATTAGGAAAAAATATCTTCAATGGCTTCAAAAGGATAGAACTTTTCAAAGAAATCGGACAAAGAGATGTGCAAAGGGGAATGGTTCAAACTTGAAACATTTATTGTAAAATCCAAAGAGGGAAAAATTAGGGGATGTCACAGATCTGAAGGAGAACCTCGGTGACTTCCCAATCTACCCTAGGGTTGGCTTCAGTTTCGAGGAAAAATTATTAAAGTGTTTCATCCTGCCAATTTCATCTATTTATGGCTTACATTCGTGTGAAACAATCACACAAATAGTCTGGAAGATATGAGGATTTAGATCGTGACGAACGACAACCTCAGGAACGACAACCTCAGACGACAACCTTGGAACCTAGAACGAGTTAGGGCTTAAATCGTACAACAGAGCTATACAAATGCCTAAAGAAAAGAAGGAGGATTTATGTTGCGCTAGACAAACAACGAACAACCTCGAAATCATATCGATTGTTGCTTTAATTTCTAGGAAATAAATGGTTTAGCTGGGAAAGACATGTTCTGCTGTTGAAGATGGTCGTGCTGCCCACCGCGCTAGTTCCAAGCTCTTTGTCGTGACGAGTTTAAGTTTTCTAGGGTGTCAGGTTGTAATGTCAAATCCAGCGGCCCTATGGTTGTAGTTCTTCAGATATTTTATAGGTAACATGTTGAAGTTGTACAGTATATAGCATAACAGTAGGGTATGTAGAACAAACAGTAGAGTATGCAGTAAAAAAAACAATACAACATGCGGTATAAAAGAAAAGTAAAAAGAATACAGCGGGTAGGTGATTTGCGAGAAAGTAACATGTTGTAAACATAAAACAAACATGTATACCTGGGAGGTTTGTTGTTCCTTATGTGTAATTGATGCAACAAGTACAAATAATAAAACTTGAGGAAACATGCTGAAACACTTTATATAAACAAAAATAAAGAAACATGGTCCAGAAATCTCGAGAAATATCGTCAAAAGACTCACGACAAGAGAAATGTGAGGAAATCGACGAATCGACAAATCGATTAAAATCGTAAAAAGCACAGGAAAATCCCGAAAAAATGACCACGAATGCTTTGTCCAAAAATTCCAAGAAAACCATATGAAAAAGTGAAAAGAGGGGGACCGCAAGCACTCGGGTTGGGGCTAGGCTCAACTATATATTAGTACTCGAGGGTCTTCGAAGGCTACTCGGTCACCCGAATGTATAAAGTTCGTCACTCAACTAGAAGGGTGTCCTATCGAACCTAACTCAGAAGGGTACTCCTTAGCCTAAATAGGTGATCAACAGGTGGACAATCGATGTTTAAAATGTATTTAAAATTTATATTTTCAGCATGGACATAGGTTTCAAACATGCAAAAAGAGGGTTGTATCAATTTTGTTTGTAGCAAAATATATATTTTTGTTTAGAAAAAGGTGCATCTGTTTTTGTCAAATTTTTTTTTCCATCAATTTTGAAAAGTGTAGTTGTCCACGAGTCGATCGCGCTGTCGGATATAAGAGTACCAACAACCTAAGAATGTTCGGGTCAACTCCTGCTAGTCTTGTGTCTGTGAATGATACTGTCATCCTACAGCTCACTGGGTTCCTGAATCGGAATGGGTTCCTGAATCGGATCCCGATGTCGTAGGATGACATCATTCTGCTATCTCCGGTGTGTCTCTGTCATCACCATTCTAAGCCCCAAAACAAAATCGATATACTTGCGACTTTGCTTGATGGTTTCACGTATAGCAAAAGGCTATACGTGGACACTTATATATCAAACATAAGCACCAAAAATCAAACGAAGAAGCAAGAAAAAAAATGAACAAAAATTGGGTGAGAGAGAGGAGTCACTGATCCACCTAAAACACTGAAAGGACGGAGGACGGATCAGCCCTCAAAACTCGTAACGAAAAGACCTGAAAAAGAAGACCCAAAGATCCTTAAATCAATCCGGAAGGATATCACTTTCTCACATTTTTATAAATGGCTTGACCCGAGTCAAAATGGCCTCACACACTAGTGACTTCCTAACATCGGTGCCCAACTCCCAAAGACATCTTTTATTAAATTAATTTATTCCAACCAAATGCTTTTCCAAAATGAGACTTAGAAATCTCCTAAATTTCACAAAAGGA